CAAAAAGAAGCTTATAATCTAGTTTACTTAACTCACTTGTACACATTGACATTAGTGACAGGCGATGTTTAATTTTATTTTGAATAGCACAAGCCTACTATGTGAAACTAAAATGAATGAAAATAAAATTGGATTCACAAATTTTCTACAAACGTGTTTTTCTTAAAAATGGTTGCTTTAATCAAAATTTTGCAAGAGACCAATTCGATAGACAATTGAACACACACGAAAATAATGCCCTTTTCTCAACTTTAACACTCTATTTCTCGAACATGCGGTGAAAGACTTGACCTACTAACTTGTGATACACTGTATAAAGAGGTATCTTTATTTCTTGACATACTATACGTCCTGGTGAAATTTATGACCACCTTGTAATATATAAGGAAATATTAAAAAGGGTTCTCGTAACTAGAATTTTTTAATAAACACAATCTCCGATGCGTTCGCGATAGCGCAAAAGCGGCCCGCCTCTAAAATTTTAAACTAAGTTTGAGCATTATTTAGCGCCCGTTCCAGGCGTTGGGCCGAGAGAACACCGCAAGATCCGGGTATAACAAGGAAATCCTCGCGCTAATACAATCTTCCAAACGCACGGATTTAATAAAACATCGAGGAAAATGAATGAACGACGAGCGCTGGCGATGAATACTCCGATATTCCGGTAAAACAGTATTTTCCACTTTTCCTTCGCACTTTATTTGTCCGGGAAAGGTACGGAATTGAAATTATTATTTAGGGTAACTCGACTCCAGGAGAACGGGCTATTTAGGACGAGACAGGAGAGCGTCGCAAGCGGATTATTTTCTTATTGGTGCAATTTAAATTCAAACAGAGATTTGTACGGAATGAGGATGCGATGGTCTAGTCTAGAGAGCAACGCCTCATTGCTCTCGTATAACGTCACGAGCAAACTAGGAAGAAAAGCATCAGGTAAACGATCCAGTAAATGACAGGAGCTGTTATTTCCCTCACGAAAGAAATTTGTTCCTCCATCGCCCTGTTTCAATATCCTACTTTAGTACGGTCGACCTTATTTGTAAAGAAGTATTTAGTAGGGTCGTTTTCATAAGTAAAATTATATAACAAAAAGTATAAGTGATAGAGAGCAAGAAAATGAACAACTTTTATTTTTTATTAAGCAACCAATGCGTCTGTTTTTTGAGAAAATTAATTAAGAAAATTAACCATAAATGTAAACCGACCCTGTGTATCTTGTGCACGTGTATTGTGTGTTGCAGTATGATGCCGGCGTATAAAACTAACAGTACCGTGTGTGTACTACGGGAACAATTACTACACCCCTATCATGTACAAAGGGTATTTTTGGTGAAAAAATTTCGACCGTCGTTGTTTATTAGTACATGGAAACAACTTTGAACAATTTTTGTAAAGCATATCATATATTGGTATAAATAAAATGGAAGAGACATTGTTTCATTAATACAATTCAGATTGAAACGTTTTTTTCGAATTTCGAAAATGCCTGCGTATCTTAAAAGTAGTGTACGAGTATATACTTATTTCATATTGTTTTTATTGTTTCTGTTGTTTTTATTGTTTCTCGAACTAAGCAAATCATCGATTTGCAATAGTTAAGGTGTTAAATCGATTGGCATCAGTTCTCAGTTGATTAAAAACTGATTATTAGTTATCATTTTGTTGTTTACACCAATTTATTAATTAATCATTTTTTATGATTTATTTATAAAAGTACATCAATATCACGATATGTTATTAATTTCTGGTTAATAAGAAGCAAAATGCATCTCTTATGGCGACGATGTAATTATGACGTCAGTTGTAGACATTTCTTAGATACTGGTGGTGTTATTTCTCGTTCTCAAACACGGTCACAGCAAATTCGTGTACAAGTAGAAGAGATTACTAGATACTATTGACGATACTTCCAATATAAACATAAGCAGAAATGTCATTCAAACTGATGTATATTAGATTTTGCTCACAACAGAGTCTTTATAGACGGTTTTTAGACGCAAATCCTAAATATTTTATCCACAAAATTGTAGTTACAAATGAGACTTCTTTTCATACTTGATGGAACTGATAATTTTCATGGGTTGATGATAATATGAGGTTGTGGACTAAGTATTGGAAGGAGTTTCTTTGAATATTCGAGATGAAATGTGGTATTTACAAGATACGGCTCCTTCAAATATTTTTCAAAGTGTTCAAATAAGAATAATACCAACAATTTTCTAAAGACAAGGCAATTGTATTCGGTACAGTATACACTTGTTTAAAATGTGATGGTGGCCATTTTACAAAATTCTTCCAGCTGTAAAATCTTGTGAGTACAAGTCAAATTTCGGTTCTGTTTCATTTAATACAATCTGTTTGTTTTTATGTAGGTTTCTTTTTTAAACACATTTGATGGACTCGCAAAAGATTTTTATGTTTGTTTTGCGGAGTTCTATTATATCAGGTGTCCCAAAAAGATCCAAACCCCCTCGATAACTTTTCAAGATTGGATTGTTCAAAAATAGTTTCAGTTGAAAAATATCAAGAAGCCAATGACCTTGCGTTTGACCTTGAGGTTTCAAGATCAAACCAGGGTCAACGTGAAAATATTAAATAAAACACCCTATTTTTATGCTAGCAATCGATAGAGCGCCAAGTTTTACGTCCGAATATGAGAAAATTATTCCTGTAGGTATGTCTTTGCAGGCAGTTTAGAGGTCAAACTAATTTTTCTCTGAATAACCCGACAAAAATATTTCAACCGATATTTGTAGGATTTTAAATTGCAAATTAATAGGTGACTTTAGATTTGACCCAAAAACTGGTAAGATATCATTGTCCAGAATGGGATTATCATCAAAGTTTAATTAACCTAAGAATGTGTTATATTTCAAAATTTTTATCAAGATTATAGGTACTAATAGCTTTAGAGGACAACATCTAATAAATTCTATTACTTTTATATCAATTATTTTTTATAAAAAATGAGTGCCCTTCAAATGACCTCTAAGGACACCCTAGATAAAATTTTTATCCGAAAGTCCGATATAAAAAGGAGCTATGTCCGTTGCTGGCACAAAAGATAGTGTATTTCATTTGATATTAAATTGACCCTACAGCTTATGGTGAAGATCAAAATCCAATCAATCAAAGCCCTACAAATTTTGTCTAAAATATTTTTATCGAGTGTTTTCAAAGAAAAATGAATTTGACCTCCAAATTATCTGCTAGGATGTTCAAAAAAAAATTTCTGGCCACGATTGCTGGAACAAGAAATAGGTTGTTCTAGTTAATATTTTCAAGACGACCTACATTTGACCTTGAAACTTAAGGTCAAGTCACCAGCATGTTGATGACTTTTACTACAACATTTATATGAAACTTTTGAAAAGAAACTCAATCCTGCAAAGTTAGGGGAGAGGCAAGTCTTTTTAGGACACCTGCATCAAGCATATCCTGTACCTATATTAAATGTGCAAAAAAATTGAGAACATGGATTACAAAAACGAGATCATGAAGAATATTGTCAAAGTTCTACGTTCTGACAAAAACATTTTATATCAGGACTGTGACGATCCCTTCAAATTTTCTTAAACCGGTCCTGTGTTTTTAAGTTTCGACCCGCATTTAGAACTTTCCAAATCTAATTAGCCGGTTGTTAGGGGTCCAGGCCCGCTCGGCCAAACAAACGAATTAGACGCGACACCGAAACAGCCAAGGGGTAAGTAACTAAATTAGACCCACCTGGCAACTTCTCGACGCTTTCGATCAATCTCTTGGTCACATCCAAGGCGGCGACGGACTCGAGGGCCTCGACCTCCATCCTCGGGACTGTTTGGTCAGGATTAAGAGCGGCGCCGCAACAGCGACTCAGCAAGTTGCCCAAGGTGTCGGCCAGTTCTGAATTCAGGATGCGGATCACCTTCGTGTCGCTGTAATCTGGAACAGAGGAGCGTTTGGGGGCTTGTTATCTCTTTCAATTACGCCGTTACACGTGTACACGGCACTCCTGATTGGTAAATATTTGACGTATTGATAACCAGGGTGACGAGTTGTGTAAAAGTCGGACGGACCCTTCAGCAGTCGCGCATATATACGGTAAATATTTACTAACCAAAATCAACAATCAACCTTGCTTTGTTATTTGAGATCGGCTCAAAAGAAAATATGAAATATTCATCAATATATACAGGGTGTGGCGTGTATATTCTATAAAAATTAAACTACAGCTTCCTGATGATATTTGTAATAGGAAACTCTTATACGAAAAAGTTCTATCTTGGCGTTTTTTTTGTAAATTAAAGTACATTTATTCAACGAAAATGAAGGCCGACCCTGTGTTATTTATTAAAAACTTTGGAAATGTTTTTATGCGACCCGAGATGCAACCTTATAATTTAAGTCGGTATAATCTAATACTAGTAATACTAAAAGGTTAGGTTACATTGTCAAAAAATTTGTGCAGTCAACTGATTTTGTATTTGCATTGAATTCACTATTCACTTAATTAATAAATATTAAGCATCGTCCATCGACCCACCAGTGTTAAAAAGTGAAAGATTCCAGACCAAAGTTTTTATTTTGTTATTCCATGATAGTGACAGTGTAATTTTTATATAGAAGTAAAAAATAAGAATAGCGTGCCGATTACATTAAAAACGAGATTCTTATTTCTTACTTTGCTTAATTTTTTTAGTTTGTGCACAAAGTAGTTTTACAATGAACCGAGAAAACAATGCATTTACTATTTCCGAACATGTCGATGTGGTGTTAGTGTATGGTGCAGCCGGAGAAAATGCGCTCGCGGCGACTAGGTAGTACCGGGAACGATGGCCACAACGTCACCCCCCATGTGCAAATACAATCCTACAATGCGTTCAGCGGCTGCTTAAATTGCATACAATCTTTATAAATTAATAAAAAACATATCACAATAAATATTACAAGCAATAGAACACAAAACGAGAGAAAAGAGATTATATAAACATCTTAGTCTAAGAAGGAGCGATAAGACCATTACCATAATGTATGCATATCAGAGAATTTTAAAAACTCATTAACTGAGTAGAAACAATGCGTAACAAGAAATTACTTTATTTTCTGTTTAAAATCACGAGTATTCAAGGACTTTAAACTAGTTGACACAATATTATATAAATGGATATCTAAGGAATTTTTCTTTGATTTAGTCAATCTATAACGTGGAATCAAAAAATTGTCCGCAGATCTCGTCCCATAACTATGACATTGAGAGTGTGTAACATATAGATGTTTCTGAGAATGAATCTAGGAGAGTGGCATATATGTAAAGACATGGTAACGGTAGAATTTTAAGTTTTTTAAAATGCGGTCGACAGTATAGCTAGAATTAGTCATTAACCGTACAGCTTTCTTTTGCAACTTAAAGGATTATATTATAGATTATAGGATTATAGAATTTTTTCAATTTAAAACGTACTGTTTTAGACCATCAGTTGCTTATTTTTGTGCTCTCTGACACCCTTTTCAAGGAATGCACTTATTTCAGAAACACCCTGTACTTTGAGCCATATTTGCAATAAAAATTCCTACAATACTTTATTTTGTGAAACAAAGTGCTCTTCAATTTATTTAACTGTGTATTTTACATAAAAAAAATATAATAATATAGAATAATATCTCGAAAATAATTCTCTGAAATACAACTGCGAATCAAATGAAATTTCCAAAATAGACAGTTCAGTTGAAATTTTGAGCTTCTTAGGCTATCCCTCGATATTTCCACCACGAGTTGATATAAGTGCATATAAATCCAGTGAATTTTTATATTTTGCCCCGACCAGCATTGAATCACACCAAAAATATCAAATAAACAGCTAACAGCCGAACCCACCAAACATATACCGGTTTCGAACTTATTAGTTCTCATCAGTCTTGCCACAGGTAGGACAACCAACGACCGTTTATTTCATAGCAAATCCAAGCAGCATGTGAACATTCCTCGATGGCGACATTGGTTTACTTCATTTGAAGAAATACGTGATAGATCAGTGTCAATAACCCACAAACCCAATAGTCCATAAATCCCTAAACTCAATCACCCATTATTCTAATAACCAAAAATCATAAACCTAATAACTTATAAACCCATAATTCCTAAAATCCCTAATCACGTAAACCCTAAAACCTATCCACGTAAACCCTAAGCCCTAATACCCATACACGCCTAAACCCTCATTAACCCCAGAACCCATCAATCTAAAAATCATTAGTTTTATGTTTTTCTGTTATAAGGTGAATGGATGATTGGGTTTATTGGATTTATGGGTTATTAGATTTGTGGGTTATTAAAGACCTAATGGCTTTTTTCCTGTTTTCAAAAAAAAACTTGCCAAATTTTATATTTTCCGCACTTCCGGCATAAAATATAAGACTTTTTAATGTGATTAAATAAACATTTGTTGCTATACCATCTGACCTGCCGCGTGGCTCGAATTGTTTCTATTTTTGCCCACTGTGCACCCCCGTGAAGATAGCAGCAGTTGGCACGTGTCTACTCTCAAAAACCTTCTACACGCAAGCGAGAAGCTGCTAATTTATTGTGTTTTGTCTTGCTTTGTCATAAGTTAAAACAATAATGCCACTAATTCTGCATTGTTATAGACATATGTACTTGCAAGACTGATGTAAACAATAAGCCACAATAATAAGAGTCTATGAAAACCACAATAATAATGTATGAATTGGAATTTGTCAAATCAATCAACTGAAGCTACTTGGAAGGGCGAGGGCAAAAACTACATAAAGCTTGTAAGTATTTCAAACAATTTTTTCTCACAATCTACAAATATTTCATTAAAACTTTTTTGTAATATCCATCCTACTTTTAATGGCGCATACTTACATAAATTAGACTAGACGGTATCTGTTTTGGTTTGGGTGAATCGTATATCCACGGAGATTTTTGGCTTTTTGGCTTTTAAATATCACTAGAAATGAAAATTTTTCTATGCGCATAAAAAAACGTGGGCTTAACTTTTGGCGGCACAATATGTTAAAATAAATCGAAAAATGTCATATTTTTCTTCCTATTTCATTATGTATCTTTTCAACAGTTGATTTTAGGCGAAAATGGAAGAGGAAAAAAATGTTTGTAATTAAATATTTTACAAAACATGATTAGTTACAAATCGAATGAATCATGATTATTATGGTAAAAATCGAAAAAATCGCAAAAATGAGGTTAAAAAACAATACTTTTTAGGGACTTTTTTGGGGTATTTAAATTGGGTATAGGACCTTTATACTTGGCTCAAGAAAACTCCATATTATGTAGAATCATCACACCATAGTTCATCAAAATCGGTTCGATAGATTTTGTATAATAATTTTGCAATCCAGATTTTGAAAAAAAAATTGCAAATTTTCAAAATTTTACACAGCAAAAACCAAGGCCTTTAGATACTTGAATATTTAATCACATATAGAAGGGCTTTCAAGCTTTCAAACTTTTGTTGAAAAATTCGAATCCGTCAATTAAGAGAGCTCTGGCGCTTGTTTAAACATTGCTCGAATTTTTGTACTTATAAATAATGAGAATAACATTGTGAATATTCAACCAAATCAAATTTTTTAAAGCAGGTTTAAAAGTTCTTGGAAAGAGGCTTCTTTAAAAAAAACAGATCGATTGGTCAATTAGTTACGTAGATATAGCCGATCAAAGTTAACCGTCATTAACACTAAATGTACTGGGACATCCGGGCTATTTTTTCGAAAAATACCTTTGGTATTCCGAGTACTTACCAGGTCTAAGATTACAATACTTTTCTTCATTGGCAACCTACTTTAAAACGTGTTTAAAGTTATTTATGCAAGCGAGAAATTCAAGAAACATATTGTGCCGCCAATAGTTAAGCCCACGTTTTTTTATGCGCATAGAAAAATTTTCATTTCTAGTGATATTTGAAAGCCAAAAAGCCAAAAATCTCCGTGAATATACGATTCACCCAAATATGGCTTTTTGAAACAGATACCGTCTGGACTATATTCAGTTTTTTTTATAAGCCGCGAATTACCCTACATACCTAGTTTTCAACATTCCATTAGTTACATGTATATATTTTTTAAGGGATTAAATTCGGAACCACTATTTATGGTTGTGAAATCTGCAGCTTTAGCAGCATCGAAATTTATGAGCTGTGATGAAAGAAGCCAATAAAGCGGAGAGAACGACCCAAGAAATATAAAAAATGACACATAAATTATTGTGAGACATCCTGTATAAACAACATCTATTCACGATCCTTCCGCGGGCTTATCGCCCACTTTTTCTAAAAATTATTACACTCAGACTTCCTACCCCTCAAATTTACGACCGGACCACAAGACATTCCCGCCTGGAATAAAAACGCGAATAAAAAGAAATCCGGTGAGTCCCGAGCCGACTGGTGACATAAATTGAGCAAAAAAAAGACTCACTTCCGTCGCTATGCGCGACGCCCTCCCTCAGCAAGAAGTACCTCAACCCGTCGCTCGTGTAGACGCCGGAACGGTCGAACGGGCACACCACGTTGTTCTTGGACTTGGACATCTTCTCCCCGTCCACCGTCCAGTGAGAATGGCAGAGGATGGACCTGGGGGGCTCCAGATTAGCCGCCATCAAGAAGGCCGGCCAGTAGACGCCGTGGAATCTGAAATGATGGACTCAGTTAGCGCATTTTTTTTTGCATTCGTATTCAGAAAGTATATATCACAGTTAATGTGCAAAAAATCAATTTTTTTTTTCAACTATTTCACCCTCAAAATAACTAATGAAAACGAAGCGCGGGAACACGACGGAGGCCATGTTCTGACGTCAAACCACTCATTAGCGGCTAGCCTACATGACTGGGTCCCACATACATCATGCAATATCTCTGGCTATGGACAGCTATGGTTGGCAAAAACAAACTATGTAGTTGAAAAGGAAATGTAATTACAAATTTTAATTGTGAAAAAAAAGCGATTAAAATTAGTATTTTTATTATCAATCGTTTGACTAACAAAATTTTGAGGCAAAAAAAAAATTAATATTCGGCTAACATTTTCCAGAAACACTAAATACACCAATAAGAAAGCAGCACCACTATTTACAAAGAAAAGTTTATTCTTTATAACAAACAAAGAAATGACATACCGCTTTTAATGGTATATTACAATAAACTCTATGAAAATTCCTATGTTTGTAGCTTTGGAATAGTCATGGAAATAACATATAAAGATTTTAACCATGGCTAGGGGGGAGCAGGGGTGTGCAAGGCCTGCCGCAGAAAGTCCGGTGCCCACCCCAGAAAAAAAGATCTAATATCGTTTTTCGGTAAATCGCTGTTTGCGCCACTTGTTTTTGTTAGAATCAAACGAAAAAGTGTATTTCAATTTTATACATAACATTGTTAACTTTTTTCAGTCTAATTAATAGGCAAAAAATATCCTACAACTTCTATGTATTCTGTTTAAAGCCGATTTAATATTTATTTTTATTTATTTCCAGATTAAGGAGGTTTATCTGATTTGGAATTGACGAACAAATATTCATAAAAAAATTAATATAAACTTATTAATATGAAGAAAATCCTCAAAAAAAATTAGGACTAGTTTGGATACCCAAGACACGAGATATTAATAAAATAATTTTTCACGATTTAGTACGAAGTCTTATGAGAATGTAGATTTTTTTGGTCTTTCCACTTAGAATGCGCAACAATTGAGGAACAGTTTCCACAGCAACTTGTATAAATAGGAAACCGATATCTAAGGAACCGTATGACAGCTCGTAGAAATCGATTAGGTACTTGTAAGATACATAATTTATAATAATTCTCCTTCAAACTGCTGTCGCTGACTAACTTATCCTCCAAATGCGTGATAGCGGCAACGCCGCGGTCTCAACGTAACGTATTATTTGAAATTCGCAGGTGTCCAAACCAACAGAATGATCGAACGGGAGCGAGTGAACGCCGAGCCGAGCGCGCCAGATAAGTGCAACGTTGCCAAATCTAAAGGCTTCAGTCACTAGCGAATCTACAGAAACTTCCTTAATAAAATGCGTAAAATATAGGCCATGTATAGAATTTTTAGACATTTTTTCAAGTTTATTGCAAAATTTGACGTGATAAGAGAATTTTGGAGTTCGGATTCATGTACAGCGACCACAAAACCATGTAAGATCCCTACTTCGGGTGCCGATGAATTTAGGTTTGTGGTGCTGTGTTGTCAGGAGGTATATTCAAAAATCGAGAAATACTTCAAACTACTAAATTTCAACATGCAATTTCTCAAAAATGAAAAACGATATCGGGATAAATCCAAGTGCGTTTTAAAGAGTACTTTAAGACCCCATTAATGGTTTCAGCAAAAAAAATTATCTTTGCATGTAACATAACCTCATACATGTCAAAAAATTGCGATTTGGTCACTTTTAGGTTAGGATATCTCGAAAACCCGAGCCGATTGAGAAATTTGAACCTCGGATTCGAATTCAGCACACTAAAATCCGTTGTGAAAGTATATTCGTGTTGTTGGGTGAAATTTTGTCGGCCTGTGTTATCTTTGGATACACACACCATGTTACCATAGCAAAGTCTTTCAGTTTGTGTTTTTTAACATAAACATCAATCAACATAAACGTAATATTATTTCAGTAGGTTTTCTAAGTACTCAAAAACTTTCTTTTCTAATGAACTCTCCCATTGATTTACACATTAAAGGAACTGACATTCGGAAGATTGATAATCGAAGGAAAATAAATTTAAAAACTTAATTCGTTTTTTTTCGTGATTAATCTCTTTAGGGGAGGAATTTAAAACTCGCTTAAAAAGGGAAACCTATATTTTAACTCAGTTACAGAACAACGTAAACTTTGTTATTACATGGGAATGACCTACTTCTTTCCATTTTCCCTTTCACTTGGCAAAACGTCAGATTCTCCGGTCCCAATACTCTTTGGATGAAATATGATATTTTTTAAAATTATTTCCAGTAAATTAATTGAGCTTATTTTGATATAGATCAGGGTGTATTAAAGAACATTACATCAAACTAAATAAAAATCGAACAAATGGTACTATACTCTGTTTGGAAATGAAAGAGAGTAATAAAACCTCGAGATAAGAACCGGCCATGGGCGTGCTAATATTTCGTTTCAGGTAATTATCGGGTAACACTAATGCTAACAGGTAATGGGTGTACATTAGTATATTTTACTGGATACATCATAGGGCAGGAGCCAGTGTATTGTGACAGATCAATCCAGTCTTAGAGCTGAATATACGAAGACGTGCTAGTGCAGTAGAGTATAATTCGACTTGTGTTTAGTGACTAAAGTACACTCATTTTATTTTAAAAAAGAAATACCAACGCTAAACAAAATTTTAAGTGAACTTTCAGAGGACAACGATTTGCCAAAAATCAGTAGAAGCAAATTATGGGCCGTCTTACGAGAATTGAATTTTTGCTGGGAAAAGCAGAACAGGAAGTCAGTTCTTATCGATAAAGATGAAATTATTTGTTGGCGAAGATACTACTTAAGATCAATTAGAAAATTCCGTGACGAAGGGAGGAATATTTATTATCTAGACGAAACTTGGGTCAACGAGGGATATACTGTAACAAAAGTGTGGCAAGATAAAAATGTAAAAAGTTTTCGACAAGCATTTTTGGATGATTTTCAACAGGGTTCAAGGCACCTTCAGGTAAAGGGCGAAGATTAATAGTGATTGTAGATGGCGGTTTACTTTTATTTGAATCTAAAAATACAGGTGACTATCACGAAGACATTAACGCAGATGTTTTCGAAGAGTATTTTACACAGATGTTGGATCTTATTCCTCCGGGAATAAGTGTCATGGATAATGCCAGTTACCATTAACGGCAGACCGAGCGGATGATTACGACTGCTTGGAGGAAAGCCGATATAATTCAATGGTTATCCGGAAAAAACATTTCTTTTGAAACAAATATGGTGAAAAAGGAACTTTTGACACTTGTCAATCTTAATAAAGATCAGAAAAAATATGTTATCGATGAAATGACAACAAATCGCCAAATAACGGTACTACGGTTACTACCTTATCACTGTGAACTTAACCCAATCGAATTAGTCTGGGTGCAGGTAAAAGGAGATGTAGCGCGAAATAATACGACGTTTAAATTAAGTGACGTAAAAATTTGGTTAAAAAATTCCTTGGAACGAGTAACTGCAGATAACTGGCAAAGATGTATACATCATATACAAAAAGAAGAGGAAAAAATATGGGAACTCGATAATTTAATTGACGTTACTTGGAACCTATCGTTATCAATCTAGGAGACGAAGATAATTCATCAGAATATTCAGAGGATGAATTTTAATATACCTACTTTTTTATTTTCTTTATTGTACATTTATACAACACTACATTTACTCACCATAATTTGAATTTTCAAAATACATATATTTTTGTGTGGAATAAAAGTCTATTCATTAAATTTAAATAAATATTTTGATAATAATATTGAATAATTTTATTTGAATTACTAAAAACCCTCCTAACCCGGTTATGATGCTTAAAGTAGCCTCATGTTTTGAAATGCTGTTTTTATATTGTTTACTTATAAGAGAAATGGACCGAGAAATTGAAGCGGCATAGACAAAGACGGATTGTCGGGGATTAGCTACCTGCTACAATTTAGTACAGTCCGATCCCACAAAGTTTTGTTAAAAGTAGACCTCATCTATACGGAAAATACATAATATAAAAATATTGAATATAAGCACCAGTACTTCATTTATTTACTATTTGCATACATAATGAGCTTTTATTACTCTCTTTCATTTCTAAAGAGACTATAGAATATTACAGAGCTTTAATAAATGATCACATGTCAGTTGACCGTTTGTAAAAGTAATTTTATTTCCTTCGCGTTGGCAAGGTTACGTTACAACATAAGATTATGTTTTACCGGCTGGTGATTAGTGTAATTTTTCACGAGATTTTATTCAACGAATCGGCGATCGCATTATCTCGAACATAGACGCAACATTTTTCGCTGTATGTAAATGAATCAATATTGATGACGCTAAGATTTTTAGTTGACACTACCATTCGCGCAATTCTCGGTGGTTACGTGGCTTGTAATCATTTATGAAGGTTCTATATTATACAGGGTGTCTGCGAAATGTTGGGAAATCTCGAAGCTGGAGATAATGGTGATCAAAATAAGTCGATTGAGCCAAATATGCCTTATGCAAATATTGCTGGTTTCAAAGATACAGGGCGTTCAATGCTTGAATTTTATTTTGAAAGTCCTCAATAATTTCCAAAACTATTGGAGTATGAACAAAAAAAAAATGGCACTATTATGTTTTTTGACATGACAAATAAGAATTTTTAACTAATTTTGACGTTGCTTGTACAGGGCGTTAGTTATGCCCTATTCCTTTGATAAAAAGAGGACAACTTTTTGCCTTTAGAATTACGGACATTGTGTATTTAAAATATGAAAGAACATTCTTTGTTTCATAAAAAAATTACTCTTATTCGATTTAGATATCTCCCTTGGTTATCGAGATGTTTGCATATACAAGCTTGTATATGCATTTCGTTTTTAAGCAACTTATTAAACTAATGCGACTTGACAAGTAACTAGTGTATGAACCTTTCTTTGTTATTTA